CCCGCCCAAAATCCAGAAACCTGACTGTGGTGCTAGTTGCCCCAACAGGAATGGCACTGTAATAGAGCTATGTAGCCATTTAAAACAAGAATGCATCTATGTATAAATATCAAAGTATATTTTGCAGTGTTTTGCACACACAGTGCTCTCTGGCCCTACAACAACCAATCTCCTTTGCCTAAAGTACAATAATCTCCTCATGATCTGAAACTGCATTTTTTGTATTTGTAATATTGGAAGCAGCCAAGAGCAGGCTACATTAAACATACTATAAAGACACAAAAGACATGTAACTCGAACACATCACATAGTGCTCTGTTCTGACGGACAAGCTTCCTCCAGGCTTTGGATGGGGGTCTTACCTTTATACTGAGGGGTGAACTTCCTCATCTCTGGGGGCAGGCTCTTGTAAAACTGGTGCTCCCTGGGTATGAGGGGCTTGCAGATCGTCTGTTCCCCAAATCGTAGCACACAGGAGTGGCCTCCTACCTGGTGCACGAAGGGCTCAAGCATCACTCCTTTTCCGGGATAAGGCGTTCCGTCCGCCTGCATCAGAGCGGGACTCATCCTCACTCCGCATTGGACAGCTGAGCTTGTGGGACCCAAGCCGCACGGGAGGCAAGAAGCTCGGCCGCTTGTTTGGCTCCCTATCTCCGGGTTTTTCTCTGTCGGCTCGCACGGGGGCGCTGCTGGTCGCCTGCTCGAGCGAACCACTGAAAAACAAAGGGCTGAACAGGAAGGACACAGCCAGAGATAAAAATCTCTTGCCCCCTTTTTTCTTGTCGGAGGACAAATTATGAAACTCTTCCACTCTGCTGGATATGATCCGTGTTTGTACGTTTGACAAACGTCTTATGCAGCTACAAAGGCTGCTTAAAACGTTTACCAGCCCTTTCCTTCCCTCTCGCTGCGTCGCGTAGCTGTTACCGAAAGTGACGACTCATGGCTGTTTGCCTGAAAACAGCCTGCAAGCCCCGCCTCTCTTTAAATACAGCCAATCACAGAGCCGTAGCTGTCGCTGGGAGGAGACAATAAACCCAGGAGAGAATCAAGCAAACAAAGAGGAAGGAGAGAAAACAGGGGGGAGGGGAGAACGGGAAAAATAGACAGACAATAAGGAAGGCATGTTTTTTGTCAATGCGCTTGGAAGTTTATTCTGTTTTATTAAAATTCAAGATTCAATATATTCAATTTCTTCGGTGTTATTACTTTGTTGACTGGCTGCTAGTTGCATTTATGTTTCGTCTGGTTCTTATACCATCAGATATGCTTTGAAGCAAACTAGCAGATCATTTAAAGGCAAAAAAGATTTTTCCATTTTTAAAAATCGACTAATCATATCTCAGTAATAATTGGGCAAGACCTAAGGGTGTGACAAAAATATGGTTCATAAAACCTCTGATGTCTTTTGCTACACACCAGGGACACAAAGGCAAGAACTTACCAGAAACCTTGTTTACACGATATGGGAGACACATGGGAAATGTTTACTTATTTAAAACTTGAAAGTCTACATGTCAACAGACAACTCAGGCAGAATTGATAATGTGAGGGTTGTTGTCAAAACAACACTGAACACAAAAATCGGATGTTTGACTTAGATATTGATGTGAATACTGTTTACAAGACACTTGGCAATGGGATATGCTGATATGACAAGAACAAGTCATAAGGTCATGTTTGGACCAGTAATACAGCTGTCTTAAAAAAGCGCAAGCGTTAATGTGACCGTATTTTTACAGGTTGGTGTACTGGTGAGACAATGGCATACAATCCAAGAAGTCCCACGGGGAAATAATTTCCTATATCATTCCAATGTACTGCTTTGAAGCAGAAATATACATCCTTGAAATGTTTTAATGGAGATAAAAAGATTTCTGTCCTCAGTACCTGAGAAGGTTGTTTTCGATGTCTTAGAAAACAGCATCCTATTTGCAACATGCGTTCCAGTAGTAGATAACTGAATTACACGGCCATTGATATAAACAGACCCCTGATAGGTTATGACCCCCGATGGCCTGTCTGTATAACAGCATCACAGTAAACATCCCCAGTGCATGAAATCGGAAATACAACCACTGTATATAATTTTTGTTCCTTCTTTCTATTTTCTTTCTATTTGAATGCACATCCTTTTTTGTTTGACTTATAAAAGCATCTATTGTGAGTCATGCTACTGAAGCCAAATTTCTTGTATATTCAAAATAAGTGACCAGTAAAGCTGATTCTGATAGCAATATTTGAAGATTTCCTGTCATTGTTTTGCATAAAGCAAGAACACTTCAAGCTATTGTAAGACAACATGCTAAACACAGTAGTGAAATATTTTTTTCTGTGGTGTAAAGCGCTAAACCTTTTCTCTAGTATTATTCAACAGAATATCTGGAGACAAACATCTTTGGTGTAGACTGAATAATAGTGTAAAAATACAATATCAATAGCAGGGATATACGCTAAGATGCAAATCATAAATGCAGGTTAGTGTGTATGACTGAACTAAACTGCAAAAAGTCCACATTCTGGTGCGTGGGCTTATGCTGGTTTTACTCAGGCTCAGTATAAAGCAGAGGATCATTACTCACCCACAAGCTTCAGATATACTGGACAGACTAAACTGGCAGTTTTCTTGTGAGTGGCAGTCGACCTGGTGTGCCAGACGAGATGCAGCTGAGGCACTATAGGCAAAGTCAGGGCACTGGATTGTTACAGCCTGATCATGCATTAGTCACTGACGTTCCAGTTCTGCGCTCGGATTACCAGTGGCAAGAAAGGATCCCAGGAGGGTTACTACATGATCAACTGTTGGACAGGGCACCCACTCTATCTCCTTATTGGTCCCAGCAGTAGAGACTACATGGTAGTCTGGTGTGAAATGTACGTAGCTAAGAATAAACAAGGACAAAAAATAAAGTCTGTAGTGTGAGTGTTTGAGCATCTGTGTGTGCTTGGTATTACACTGCAGAGACTGAAGCCTGTATACACACTCACAATGTGGGGACACAGCCTTCCTTGTGAGGACCATATGCTTGTTTACAGTGAGAACTTGGTTTAAGGTTAGAGTTAGGCAAGTAGTGGTTGTGGTTAAGATCAGGGTAGGGCTCCAGGAAATGAATGTATATCAAAGTAAAGTCCCCACAATGAATGAAAGTAAACATATGTGTGTGTTTTAGGAGATACACACTGAGCTTCCCAGACCTTCTGATCACAGAATCAACATAACAATACAAATGTAACCTTTAAGGAAAGAAAACCAAACCACACCATAGAGTTGTTTTACTACATGAAAGATTTGCCTGATTGCAAAGGTGTGGAGTGGACTTCAACACTGTGGTCAGGGATGAACGTGTCTGTTTCAGTATGTGACTCTGTCAGATAGAAAGATATTTTTCGTTGATATTTTCAGATTTAGAAATGCATGTCTGGTATACTGTTGTAGTCAATAGAGACAGTGAAAGCACTACTGAAAAGGCATTCTTTCAATTTGTCTACTATAGTCCTTGAAACTGAAACTGTAAACTCATATTGCATAAGACAAAAGTTGCTCCACAAATCCCACTAAAATTCATGACCATATATACATTATAATTATGCAACAAAATGCGTGTTCATGCGCATGAGTCGCCTTGCTTTCTAGCCTAGTCACCCTGGCTTCACTGATGAGTCAGTCCTATGTCAGATTAGCACGGCCTCCCTTCTAATGTCATGGGTCTATGCTCCAGGACAACAGGTCCAGGCTGTGTCTGAGGGACTGCAATCCAACCGTGAAACAGAGCAGTGATGCAATCTCCTACCCCCTCCATGCACAATGGATAATGCACAAGCTTCTTCCAACACAGTAGTTATTGTAGACTGCACCCACCAGAGATGCAGCGGAAGTCTGTAGAAATCCAGCCTTGTATGTATAAATGAATGAGCAGGGCCAGGTGCACAGAGGGTGGGTCAGATTCAGATCATACAACCTTCAAAATGCTAAATGTATCAATCACAGTAGGAGATCAATAATTAACTTGATCAAATCAATGCTTCTCTGACTCTTTATGTCTGCTTTGGTAGAAAATTCTATGGCTACGGGTGCTAAATGCTACTGTACTATATTGTAACAGGCAGTGTGACTAAGAGCGTGTGACTCGTGTTGTCCTGCCTTTTTATGATGCCTTCGTACTGACGATAGCCATGGCCAAAGGCACTATGTTTTCAGGTTGTCTGTCGGGGCCATTTATGTGAATGCAACATCGCAGGAACAGCTTCAGGAGATTTCTTCAAATTTGGCACAAGTGTCCACTTGGACTCAGGAATGAACTGATTAGAGTTTGGTGGTTAAAGGTCAAGGTCAATGTGTACTCACATCTACCCCATTCCTATGAAATTGACTGGTTGATGGAGATGGTATGGTGGAGATGGTAATTCTAATTCTTTTTATTTTTTTGTCCTTTATGTATTGATGTGATCTCACTTCAGTTGATAACTGTTATTTACCATGCCATATACTGTATCATGGGCAAGGTCAAGTCACTGGACAGTTACTGTACTAATGAAGCAATGAAATCTGATAAGGTAAAAGGGTTTGAAAGCTCAGCCCACTACTGAATGACACAGTTTAATTACAGTACAGTAAGTGGTGGGTAAAATGTGTGCTGTGAGGGAAATCATAACAGTGCTACTCTACTAACTTGATAACCCACTTTTTAGTAGATCCTTATGCCCTCCGCATTATTCCCAGACACGTGAGGAAGAGAAACATGGGTGAGTATGACAGCTTGCAACATAGTGGGGATAACCCAATGTGCTACTGACTGCAGCTGATGGTGACAACTGATGCCATGTCAAGGACAAGCTTTTTAGTAATGCATTTCCCAGCACCATCAATGATCCTCATATGACCAAAGCACATGTTTGACATCTGATATACTTGTATACAAATTGCAGAACATGAAAATAATATTTGATTCTACAAATAATTGTAACAAATCTGTGTATCAGTCAGTGACACACATGAATGATTCTGACTTGCTGGACAACACTGACGATGCTGAACAGTAAATACAGTTGTAAAACATGAGTCAGAGCAATATCCAGTACAAGTAAATAATCCCTTAGGACAAAGACTTCCTTAACTGATGCCAGGCATTTCTTTTGCAAAACATGAGGCTTGGCAATAAGCCCTTGTATAGCCAGTAATCAGGGTTTGTCAGATGCTCACTTTTTATGCATTGTTGCATTGTTTACATTGGGGGATGGAGAGGGTATTAAATACAGAGCATGATCAGCAGTGGAACATGATCACATGAAAAGCTAAGAAATTGTAATAGGAACCACATCCATATCCCAGTGATGCTTAAACCGCCAAACTATATAGGACTGTGAACTTGAATTTATGGTAGTAATAGGGCTAAATGTGTCAGCATTACTGGCTTAATTTCAGTTCAATTCAATTTTATTTATATAGTGCCAAAAAAAATCACCTCAAGGCACTTTAAACACCCAACAAAACACCAAATTTCCTTTAGTTTCCCAGATTACAGCTTTGGAGACTACCTGAGCAATATTTGTCTTCAGATCCTGAAAGTACAGTGACACGTTCCTCCAGTGCATTCCTGAAGCTGCACAGCGTCCTTCAAACTGCCACATGCATGCACTGCCATGTGCTAGACTGACCAAAGGGGAAAAGCTATTGGTCTGGTAGATCAAGATAAACAAACTTCCTCCCTGTTACATGCAGAATGGAAATGCTTTTTCTACCCTAGCCCTTTTATTTGACAATGAATATTCCAGTGAGAGGTAAACACATGTTCATTTGAAAGGATATCATGTGTAAATGAGTAAAAGTGAAACATATACACATGTACTCATGGTGTAGCTCCAGAGTGAGATATACTTGGTGCAGTGAGCAGTGACAGGAAAAGCCCCTTACAAGTAGTAGAGATAAACACATGCAGGCACCAG